AAAAATCTAATCCAAATTTATTGAAAAACTACAGTAAGTAACGTATTCATATATAGTCATATTTAATAGATAAACCAAAAGCTAAAAAAGGATGTACCATTTTCACTATATTTCTCCATGACACTTATGGATGCCCCTGTGTTTCCCTCCATCAAGAGACAACATCGGGCGACATGCCTTGAACCCCGACAAACTCCATTCAAAAGCGAAAAAACATATTTTTCAACTTCAATGGTATTGGATCCACATCAAGAGGTACACACTGCCCGGATTGCTACGCCCAAGCTCTTCAATAAACAAAGGAAAGTACGAGTACAAAGTGGTAGCATCCCCAAACACATGATGCTTCCCCGCAACAAGCGCCTTCCCAGCAACAAAATAGCTTATGTCGATGCCGTAATATAGTTTCACGTTGAGTACGACATCATTTGGGGCCATTTCAGGTTTGATTCCAAGTGCATTCATAATCAAACCAGAAATTAAATCAGATGTCAATCTATTTTTGCTCGATGAACCAAATGAAGCTCCGCACGTATAATGCTTGTCAAATGTCCTAATATAAAACAATCCGTTAGCCTTTTGGAGCGATGCATGAATCCTCCACATGCACTTTTTTATCACCATGTATTTGCACTCAGTCGTAATCCTGGTAGGCTCATTCTAGACATAATTAAATTCAAAACCAACCTCAACTGCATATTTCCGTAACACATCCCGGTTATATACTACCATTGCGAAAGCCTTGCCCTACTTCCCTTATAAGGTTACTCCAATTGGCACTCAACAACTGTGTGGTATCAATTGTCAATGCATTTGAATGAACATCCATGTCATTCATCAGATAATTCCCCACAACATTCTATGAAGTAGTTTGTGGTACCTTAGCCAACGCTACTACATTAACGTTTTCTTTACGCTTCAGAGTTACCTCAACACGGTCAAGAACTAATTGTCGAATCAACGCTTTCATAAACAATACCTTGTCATTGTCACCCAGCATTCCCTTACCATATTCATCAACATTGTAAGTCATCGAAACATCCCTGGCATTCACAGAACACCAATTGTCTGTGAGAAATCCTACGAGGTCTTCGTACGCAAAATCAGTTTGGCATATCTTCACCTCAAACGATCCTCTATACTTCAACACAACCATTATGTTAGACGACATAATATGCAGCACTACAAAAAAAAAAAGGACAAATATGACTAACCTGTTAAACATGACTAATCTGTTAAACATGACTACTCTATCAAATATAACTACTCTGTAAAATACACTGCACTATAACCGACTAATCTTGTAATTCAATTGTGGCACTCCAAAACATATTGAAACGTCACGCTAAATTTCAAGTAGCGCAAAAAAAAAAAACATTTAAAGCACACACAACCCTTCGCAACTGTGACTAATCTGTAAATAGAGTAGTAACAATTCTTTGCGTACACCTCAGACGACACAAAAAAATATTTTTCGTATTAAAAAAAACAAACGCTGAAACTTCCGGTCCAAACATTCATATTAGAAAAAACAAACAATCCATAATCTCTAACCTTTTCCACACAACTTTCCTTCAATAAACAAACACAGATTGATAAAAGACGACGACAGAACACCTTGATCTCGCCCACAATTGACTTGCGTCCGCGACTAATGAACTCAGGCCTATAGAATCAAGAGAAAATCAAGTTGCGAATATCACGCCGGCTGAAATCATGACTGCAAAAGAGGAAACGGTTGTGGAACTATTTTATAAATATATATTTAATTTATTTTATAAACTGCTGGTAAGGATAATTACGTCTTATCACGGTTGAAAAGGGGGTTTCCACTAATTAAGATTGAAATGTGGGTGTGAGCAAAAGTCTTAAAAGTCAACTGAGTTTTACTCATAATATTTTCCATTTGAGGGGATTGCATATTTCCCCTTATATTTATTAACAAATCTACTTGTAAAATAATTTTTTTTCCCCTAGCAAACTACCCCAAAATTTTACTATTTATAAGGAGATTGTGTATGCTAAAAAAAATGTATCATGGGGACTTTTGTATTAATATTAAGTAACAACAACACATAATTTGGTTTGTAACAATTCAAAATAACATTTTTTAAGGGTTATTTAAGATGTACCATGGGGAGCTACTAAACTACTGAAAAACTCAAGCTAAAATAATCATGTGAAATACCATTTGGAGAAGCAAAAATACTATTCTGTCTTACATGCAATTTTCGTATAACTATATTTATTTGTAGTTATGTTCTTTTGTTTTGCCCCAAAGTCACGGTCGACCAATTATGTACGCACACGATTATCACCACTTGCTAATATAGGAAAAAAAAATCACCACAATTCACAATTTAAAATTGATATTATAAATCAACTCTGCACCACAAATACATATCGAAAAACACAAACACATGCATATGTTACTATAGGATACTGTACATAATTATAGTAATGTGTAGTATGTAGTCGACTATAACTTCAAACATATGTCATTTTCGTCAAATTCATCAACAATTTCAACCACATTTTTGGCACTTCTAAGGATATAATCAGTGGCTTCCATTAAAATGCAACTGGAAAACCAAACGAAAAGGAAATTATTTAGTTGAATGCTAGTAATATTTCATACAATGTTGTGTTACTCAATGTAAATATAGAGTTTGTCCTGCAAGGGATGACCTAGCGGTTGGAACAAGTGACTCTGTGTCAATTGACCCAGGTTTGAGTTCCCTTACCAACAGTCGCTAGGTGAGACTTGTCACACATGGTAAGCCTAGCGTGGTTGACATCTCTCGTACGGTTTGCAAGCTATTATACGAGAGTGTAGGTTTACCCAATGCACCTATATGGAATTGGCTGCGGGTTCCTTAATTACCCCCCAAAAAATAAAGAATTTAAATAAGCAAGTTTGCAAAAAGTTGAAGAAGCTTCACATCACTCAAAATCAACGAAATTTCAGTCAAAGATGGAGAGAGGACATAGTTGCGAATGCTACAAAATGAAAATGAGAAATAGCAACCATCAATTAATATTGTTATAATAAAAATCAGGGGCTATTACCAATAAGTCCATCATGAGCTACTACTTATTTATATCTAGATCCAACCCTGAAAATATTTTATAAAAAAAATTCAAATATGTGTAAAAGAGTAAAATACCCTTTCACATTAAAATATGCTTCAATTTCATTCCTTTCACCCCGATTTGACTTCAGTTTGACCCCAATTTCACCAAATATTTAATTCTGACACCTAACCTAATTTTAACTCTAATTTTGACCATCGTCGCCGTTGACCGTCGGTATCCGACGTAATTTTTTTTTTACCCCCGTAAAAACAGTAATATTAATGTGGTTGACGATATCATTAACTATATTACAATTAAACACATAAATATTGTTGTTTTACTGTTAACACAATAATATTGTTATATACTATCTAACACAATAATATTAATACAATAAAATCACTATATTACATAATAAATTTATTGTGCAATACAATAATATTATTATGTGAACGGTCAACAAAGGCAAACAAAATAAAAAACTAAAAAATAAATAAAATAATATTGATGCGGTTGACAGTAATATTATTGTTGTTTGATAATAATATTATCGCGAACCACAGTTATTTTAGTGAGATCGACAGTAATATGACTATCAACCACAATAATATCGCAATAGTAGACAGTAATATTATTACATTGACCGGTCAACAAATAAAACAAATAAAAAAGACAGAAAAAATAATATTGATGTGGTTGACAGTAATACTATTGCGTTTACAGTAATTTTAATATCAACTACAATAATATTACAATAGTAGACAATAATATTATTACGTTGACCAGTCAACAAATTAAACAAAATAAAAACAGCAAAAACAAAAATAATATATATACGGTTGACAGTAATATTAATTTAATTTACAGTAATTTTAGTGTCAACAAGAGTAACATTACTGTCATTGACAGTAATATTATTGTGTTTACAGTACTTTCACTATCAACCACAATAATATTATTGTCAAAAGTTAGCAGCAGGAGGAAAATAAAAAGCAGAAAAATAATTATAAAAAAAAAAAGGAAGAACAAAAAATCAATGTTGTTGGAGCCCGGCCTTGATTGCTGTCAACGGCAATGGAAACAAGCAGACAAAAAAAATGTCAACCTCGTAAATTGGCGGCAGAAAAAAAAACAAAAAAAGAATATAAAAAATAACATTAAAATTGAATTTCTGTAGTCAAAATTGGTAAAATTAGAATTACAATTAATAATTGAGTTTGAAGAGTTGCAGCTAACTTTATGATAAACACCCTAAAAATGATTGATTTTCTCTTCTAAAACAACAAACAATTTGCATAAGGGATGTGATAAATGTCATTCGAGCTTTAATAATACTGTTACGATTTCAAACGTGATTTAGATCACTTTTAATTCCAAATTTTGCAAAACCCGAAAAATAGAATTTGTAGTATTCTCCGTTAGTTTTCTAATCCAACTTGAATCACCAAAATTGGATGTCGAACGAGAAAGATATACATGAATCAATGAATACTGCCCACAACTTTGATGTATTGAGGTATCTAAAATTCAAAATGTGACTCATTCATGCATAACTTTGTCACACAACATCCAATCTAGCGGATTTAAGTTGGATTAGAAAGCTAACCCAAATGACTACAATTTTCGTATTTCGAATTTTGCCAAAATAAAAATAAAAATATATCAAAATCAATTTCAATGTCAAAACGACATTATTAAAATTAAAAAGACATTTAATATTTCAGTTTGCATAAACAAAAAACAGGTGTAAAATCAGTTCGTTAAAACAAACATGACAGTTGGTAAGGATGACGTCACCCACAATCTTGGAATACACGTTAATTAATCGGGTCCCACAATTCATGTTCTCCATGTCCAAACCATTGTCTGGAAATAAATAAATAAAAGGAATCCCAGCTTTAAATCAAATTAAATGAATAAAAAAATGATGATTGCATTTACCGGCCTTCTTTTTCGTTTTCCTTTTATTCTTTTCTTCGTCCCTTTACTTTTACCTTTCCAATTCCGACAAACCACATACATAATCCCCATCGAAGAAACCCACATATATTTTCTTGATTTAATTTCCCGGATAAATAACCCAATAATTTTTATTTTATTGAATGGTTTGAATAAAGATTGAGTCTTTCCAGATAAGTTTCTTATTACCACATCGTGTTATCAGAAGAATCTTATTACCAACTTTCTTTTTTGGAGAGAAGAATAAGCAGGGAAGCTTGGCTTGCAGCTGAATTAAAGGTTTCATTTTTATCTTCATTTCTGAATTAAAGGTTTTTATTTTTCTATTAATTGGAGTTTTAATTTTATCAATCCTGGGTTTTTTTTTTCCTGTTATTTTGTGGGATTGTGTAGATTTATCTCAGGTTTCAATTGTCGGACATTGTAGAATAGGAAGTTGGAATTGTCTGTAATTTATTTTGTTGTTTGTTTTTTTTTTTATAAACAGAATTGTCTGTAATTTATTTTATTTTTATTTTGTTGTTTGTTTGAAGAACAGAATTTGTCTGTAATTTTTGTGAAATCTTGGGATTAAGTATGGGGAAACATAGTGGAAAGAACAAGAAATCTCTAGGAGATAAATCGAAGGAATCGTCGAATGCCAAGCAGACTAAGGCCAGCGAAAATGGCCCGAAACCGTACGATAAGGACACGGCCGTATTTATTTCAATGTCGCAGGAATTGAAAATCGAAGGCAATGGGTTGTTTCAGACAAGGGATTACGAAGGCGCAATGTTGAAATACGACAAGGCCATAAAATTGCTTCCTAGGAGCCACGTAGACGTGTCTTATTTAAGGAGCAATATGGCCGCTTGCTATATGCAGTTGGGTATTACCGAATTCCCGAGGGCGATCCACGAGTGCAATTTGGCGCTCGAAGTGACGCCGAATTACAGTAAGGCCCTTTTAAAGAGAGCTAGGTGTTACGAAGCGTTGAATAGGCTCGATTTGGCGCTTAGGGATGTCGGGACCGTGCTGAAAACAGAGCCGCACAATCTCATGGCACTCGAAATTCAAGAAAGGGTGAAAAGAAGTATCGAGTTACGAGGGTCGAGAGAAAACGAAATAGCTAAAGATTTGGTTGTTCCTTCGCCTCAAACGAAGGCACCCAAAGAGAAGGCACGGAAAAAGAAGAACGAGAAGGGAGTGAAAGAAAAGACTGAAATTAAAGAAAAGATCGAGGAGAAGAAAACGGAGGATAAATTGGTGGTGGAGGAAGAAGTAGTTAGTAACGGTGCGAGCGAAGAGGGTATCACGAGAAGGGTAAAATTGGTATTTGGAGAAGATATAAGACGGGCCGATATTCCTCTTCACTGCGATGTATTGAAACTGAGGGAGATTATTTCGGATCGGTTTTTGAGTTTGGATGCTGTACTTGTTAAGTACAGGGATCAAGAAGGCGATTTAGTTACGATCACCACCACAGACGAACTGAGGTTGGCCGAAGAATCTGCGGAACATGGCTCGGTGAAGCTTTATATAGTCGAAGTTAATCCAAATCAAGATCCTTTCTTCAAAAAGATTCGTCACGATGAAATGGGAGATAATCTTGAAACGAAAACTATTGCCGAAAATGGACGGAAAAAGGAAGTAGTACAGAGTGAGTCGGCTTGTATCAGTGATTGGATCGTTGAGTTCGCTCAAATATTCAAGAACAACGTCGGGTTCGAAGTCGATTCGTATCTCGATCTGCACAAGATTGGAACGAAGCTATATTCGGATGCCATGGAGGAAACGGTCACAGGCGAAGAAGCGCAAGACCTTTTCTCGAATGCCGCCGATAAATTCCAAGAAATGGCGGCTTTGGCTCTATTCAACTGTGGTAACGTACACATGTCGATGGCGAGGAAGAGGGTATATTTCGCGGAAGATTCTTCAAGAGAATCGCAGATCAAATCCTCGTACGATTGGGCGCAGACGGAGTTCGCGAAAGCGGGAAAAAGATACGAGGAGGCCTTACAAATAAAACCCGATTTTTACGAAGCTGTCGTAGCGCTCGGGCAGCAGCAATTCGAGCAGGCGAAGCTGTCTTGGTACTATGTAATCGGGACGAACGTTGATCTTGGATCGTGGGATTCGACTGAGGTTATTCAGCTTTATAACAAGGCCGAGGAAAACATGGAAAAAGGTATGCAGATGTGGGAGAGTGGTGAAGAACAACGAGTCAGTGAGCAGAAAAATAAAAAAATCGAGAATATATTGAAGAAAATGAAATTGGATAATTTCTTGAAGAATGTATCAGCGGATGAAGAACAGGCTGCGAGTATTCAGTCTCAGATAAATGTATTGTGGGGCACTATTTTATACGAGAGGTCGGTTATGGAATTTAAATTAGGGTTGGATGCATGGCGAGAATGTCTCGAGGTCGCTCTCGAGAAATTCGAACTCGCCGGTGCTTCTGAGACGGATATTGCTGTTATGATAAAGAATCATTGTTCGAACGACACTGCATCGGAAGGTGATGTGTAATGTATAACAAAGAATAAATCTTTTTGTATATGTATGTATATGTGTATATATACTTATGATGTCTTAATTTGTTTTGCATGCAGGTTTAGGGTTCAATATCGACGAACTTGTAGAGGCGTGGAATGATATGTACGAAGCGAAAAAAGTGAGGAGCAGCATTGCCTCGTTTAGGTTAGAGCCGCTGCTCCGAAGACGAGTTTCGAAGCTTTATTATGCACTTGAACATGCGTAGATACGCTACTTTGGACGTATCTGTAGAGGGTTTTTTGTCCAGCTCAACATTGCGCTCGGCAAAGATTTTGTGGTTTTGTTGCATCTTTTGGTGAGTAAATCTTGACCTGTATCTATAACCGAAACTATTCGACAAAAAATGCCGTTGAGTGCGTACCAGTTCTTGATGACTAGCCTTAAGTTAATGAATTTGAAACTAAGATAATACATTTTATCGTGCAGGCTTTCGTGTTGCATCGACTTCTATTTCAGCTGTTGTTTTATCTGGTCGAAATAGTTGATGGCAGAATATCGTTTTTTTTCTCGTTTCTGCTTCATTCTTGTGACCTCCCTGGTGTTGTAAGAATTTCGAAAAGATTTTTTTTTTTTTTTTTTTTTTTTTGGGGGATAGTATTCATTATTGGTTGTATGTTATATTTTTTTCGTAATAGTTTGAGCTGGAATGTATTATTAATTTTATTTTTAACATGTAATTCGGTTTTGAAGTCAGTATCATGTTTATGAATTTTCAGACCTGTTCTGTAATCATTTATAACAAATAATTTAGTTTTAGGTCGAGTGATATGATACAAAGGTTGTTTCGTGTTGTTGTTGAATGACCGTCTCAATACAAAAAAAAAAGTTATTAGGTGAATGTCTCGTCTTAATATTAATATCTTCAATACTAACGAGGTGAACATCATTGCGATCTTTTGTACCTTCGACCGGACTTGTTGACACGAGCTTCGTTGTATGATCGATGAGGCTTCACGTCTTTATATTGGCTAGAAATTGCCACGGGGTTGCACGTGTTTGGTTAATGTTGTAAAGGATATTTTATAATTAAGGGTTATTTACACATTCTCCTTTAAACTATGGGGTGTGTAACACTTACCAATTACTATTACTACCCCTCAAGTATCAAATGTAACACATATCCCATATACCTATTTTGAATCCTGAATACAAGAGCTGGAATTGAGTTATTTTTTATCCACCAACGAACCCATTACGGACCATATTTTTAGATGGCATAATAATTTTTTAAATGACCTATTGGATCGGGTGGAAAATTTCAACCAACCCATCTATAATGGATCGGTTGAATATTATCAAAAGTTGGTTGACCGATAATTATCGATCAACCAACTACATTATTAAAATTTTATTAAAAATTATAAAATAAATGGTGCGTTTTCTTAATTACTTTGAATTTCTTAATTATATTTTTTTGTCAAATGGCTATTAATTATTTTGGATTGATAAATGATGATCGCGCAGTAGCATTACACATAATGTGCATATTTTTACTCCAAAATTTGATTTGACCAACAAAGATTGGGCCGGTAACGGTTTTCAAATTTGAGCAAGATTGGTTTGTTGGATAGATCAGTTTTTAGGCTGGTAATTGACCGACTCGACCGAGTCCCAATCCTACTGAATACTACTAATTATAATATCAAAATTCACAATAAACATCTTAGAGACGCATAGTGACTTTAGGAAAACCCGAGTCGAGGCAGTGCACTAGTTTACCATTTTGATCATAAAGTTTTCATAAAAAAATAAACCTCAATAATTCAAGTAATTGTGTTGGAAAGAAAACAAATAGAGCTACATCTTTTACGTAGTGTCGTTATTTGATGAAGTTTGAATTAGATCAGTATCAAACTTCACATTAAACATTTTACAATTACATATTGAACTTTTGAAATCTGTTCAGGAACAATGTACCAGACTATCATTTTGATCACAACAAATTCAATGATCCGAGTTGGTTTGGGAATAAAACTAATAGAAAAACGTACTTGTCATTTGTTCTAATTCAAATTGAGTTGATTTAAAAAAAGGATAAATTCCAGTTTCTCCCTTGAACTTGGGCTCCATATCACTTTACTCCCTTTTACTCTCAATTGCATCGCCCCCCCCCCCCTCCCCCCCCCAACTTGAAAAATTGTCTCAATGTAGTCATCGTCGTTAGTTGTCAGACCTTTGATATTAACACCGGTTGATCTAAGTCTGAAAATGACAAAAAAACCATCCCTACCAGCTTAGATAATTATTAAAAAAAATAAAAAAATAAAAAATAAAATGTGGTTGGCTTGGTGGACTATGTTTTCTCGTTGTCTTGAATTTATTATTATTATTATTATTATTATTATTATTATTATTATTATTATTATTATTATTATTATTATTATTATTATTATTATTATTATTATTATTATTATTATTATTATTATTATTATAATAATTATTATTATTATTATTATTATTATTATTATTATTATTATTATTATTATTATTATTATTATTATTATTATTATTATTATTATTATTATTATTATTATTATTATTATTATTATTATTATTATTATTATTATTATTATTATTATTATTATTATTATTATTATTATTATTATTATTATTATTATTATTATTATTATTATTATTATTATTATTATTATTATTATTATTATTATTATTATTTATTTATTTATTTTTTTTAATAATTATTTAAAGTGGGAGATGTGACGTTTTTATAATTTCAGAGCTTAGATCAAATAGTGTTGATGTTTAATGCCTGACAACTAACAACGAGGGCAACATTGAGATAATTTTTCAAGTAAGGGGGGCAAATCGATGCAATCGAGAGTAAAAGAGGATAAAGTGATACCGTGCCAAAGTAAAGGGGAAGTGGAATTTACTCTTTTAAAAAATACCAGAACTTATAGAAAACACATTAGTAAAAAGGGATTATTTTAGAGACCCTCATATGGAAAAATGGAAAATATATATAACTAACCACCAAGCTAATTACATCCTTGTGCATAACTCCTCCATTTTGAAATTAATTTGACAGACCCCTCTCGCCCACCCTGAAGTACCTAAAATGTCATTTTAAAATCATTTTTAAACCCTAGCCACCCACAGTCGTCTCTATCTTCCTCTCTCAACTCTCAGATTCAAATCTCTCACCCATAGATCACCAACCAGCGAAGTTGCTTCCCGAAGTCATAACTCTTTCATTTAGTCGGAATCGATGGTTGAACTACTGTTGGGTTCCTCTCGTCGAACTCTTTCTTTTGGTGGTGATTTCGTTCAGTTTGGAGGGTTGGATGTGTTTCTGCAATTGTTTTTCAGTCGGCGCGTATTTTGCGACAATGGATCTTGCCGAAGCTGTAATTTGTATTCCGCCAGTCAGAATTTGACGGGCTACCCACCGTTGGATTCCTCATGTCGAGATCTATATTTTGATGGTAATTTTGTTCATTTTTATATTGTCAGATTTATTTATATAATTTTTTTCATTTGTGAGCGCGAAACCTTGGGTGGTTAGCGGCGACTAGGGTTTTGGTAGGAGGCGATTGGGGTGAAGTGTTATTCGCGGTTTGGTCTAAAATTCTTAGCATTTTACAGTTATGACCTTTCTCTCTTTATCTCTCGATCTCTTAGTGCTTGTTGATTTTTATGTGTTTTTGATGTTTTTTCAATTTTTGTTGATTTGCTCTAAAATAATTTTTTTTTTTGATTTTTCAATTGCAGCTTAATGAAAGCCATTGATCCTCTCATTGAAGGTGTCAACAATTTGGTTCAATTTACATCTGCTTCAAGTTACAATGTTCAATAGACTGTATACATTACTGTACATTACTATACATTACTATACATTACTAGTTACATATAGTAACATGTAGTTACATATGCGTATACTTGTGCATTTTCGATTTGTATTTTATTGGTTCTGAGGTGATTTATAATATTGATATGCCTAATTGGGCCAGTCCAATAAGCCTACAGTTTCTCTACCTACTGGGCCACGAGCCCGATTTAGAAGAACATTATTACGAAAACCCAATTACCTTCAAATAAGGTTTGGGCCCAACAAATTAACCTCGACCCAATCGACAAGGTATAAATAACGATTTAATTCATATATTAAAGGTATGCCCTATTATCTGAACAATTCTACAATTCGTATCCTCTCAACTATTTCTACTATCCGCACATCTGACTTGAGCATCGGAGGGGTTTCCGCCGGATCAACCCCCGGCCTAGTTCATGTGTTCTCTATTCGCAGGTATTTCAGGACCATCGAGCACGTGAGCAGTAATCCACTTTGCTCTCCCAGCTCCTTCTACCTCAACTACTTAATGTGATCTATTTCTAGCATCATCATAATGGCGCCGTCTGTGGCAAGGCATACAAGATCACGTAGCGCGCATGATGTCCCTGAGTCATCTACTCGGAGAGAACGTGACAATGCTAACAACCTCCCACCTCCCAGAGGCTCTGGCTTGCCACTTCTTCCTCGTAATCAAGATCCATCTCGTGATGTCGAGATAAATCTCCCGCAAGATCCTCCACTCCCCGCTCCTCGAACGGTTCAGATAACCGAAGAGGCCCTCCGACACATGATTGCAGAAGCTTTAGCTCGTGCTGCCGTTGAAGCAGTGGCATAATACATCGCCACAACAGGATTCAACGCTCCCCCTTGAGCTCCACCCGTGGCACAACAACCTCCACTGACAGCGGATACCGCATCCACCTCAAACCGTAGGTCCCGGATGTAACAATCTACTCATTGCTATGATACACAAACTGGGCGAGAAGACCCACGTTCACCTCTAAGAGGCAACGCCTTTCGCCAACGAGCTTCACCACACAATGGTGGAGATAATGAAATTAACAGTCGGATATCTCGCTCGAATAACCTTCCCCACATAGGTAATCCTAGTGATGGAAGGGCAATACCTCAAATAAGACGAAGTCCCTTCAATGTCGCAATAATCAATGAGATACTACCCAAACGGGTAAAGATCTCGAGTCTACCGCAATTCGATGGAACTAGTGACCCACATGAGCACCTTGAAAAGTTCTACGCCATGGCAAATCTATATGGCCCAACTGATACAACGATGTGCAAGACGTTTTGCACAACGCTCTCCGAACGAGCAGAACGAGCATTGAGCTGGTTCAACTCCTTGCCCACTAGGTCAATTGAAGCTCTCTCCCAACTAACGGATTGCTTCACCCACCATTTCATTATCAACAAAGAGTACGCTAAGACTCTGGCGTTCCTCTTCACTATCACCCAGAGAGAGGGCAAAACCCTCCGCAACTACATTCAACGATTTGTAGAGGCAACTCACGAAGTTCCTAACGTGGGAGGAAACATGCTCTCTGGAATCATTCAACAAAACTTGAAGGAAGGTAGATTCAAGGAATCTACTGCAGAAAGACCTCCAACAACTTTGGAAACACGTGCACATCGAAGAGGCTTCGGTCCTCCCTCCTCCCAAGAGGAAAATAGTTGAAGATCACTTCAACACGCGGAGACGAGATGGCCGACGACAATCGTCGACATCTCATTGACAATCTCCTTCCACGTCCCTCGACTTCCAATGAGGTCAATGACACTTGGAGTCTCTCGAGCCCATAACATTGTTAGTGATCGCATCATCCTAAACCGGGGGGCTATCCTACCTTAAGAATGATGCATCCCCTCACGTCTCTACATCTATTGGACGAAACACCTACATCATCTACTTAGTACAAGTTTAGTTATTTCG